CATCATCCTCATCATCATCCTTTCTTATCAAAAGTAACGATAGACCCCGCTTGCAATGCAACGGATGCTACGATGATAGTTATCGAGGCACTGCTAGAGATGCAGAGGATGTTGCGATGATACTTGTGATGACGCGAATGATCATCATAGTCATCCTCGTCATCCACCGTTGTCATCATCATCATCGTCATCATCATCCACTGTTGGAGATGCAGGGGATGCTACCACAATACTTGTCATCGTCTTCGTTGGAGCTGCAGCGGATGCTAGGATAATACTTTTATCATCTTCCTCATCATAATCATCATCACCGCCATCATCATCCTCCTCCCAGAAGATGCGTGTTCATGATTATCATCATAACTGCTGGTGATGCTAAGGATGCATAGTGATAAGTATCATCACCCGATTTTCATGATCATCATGATTGCTGGTGATGCTGAGGATGCATCGTGATGATTATCATGCAATTTGAGATTCGTCATCATCACTTGTTTTTGCTACGATGATACTTTTCATCATCTTCCTCACCATCATCATCCTTTCTTTACTTCTTACAAAGATATCAAAAGGGACGTTCGACACCACGTGCAATGCAACGGATACTACGATGATAGTTATCCAGGCACTGCTAGACAGTCACTATCATCTTCCTCATAGCCATCCTCGTCATCATCACCGTTGTCATCATCATCATCGTCATCATCATCCACTGTTGGAGATGCAGGAGATGCTGCGATAATACTTGTCATCGTCCTTGTTGGAGATGCAACGGATGCTACGATGATACTTTTCATCATCTTCCTCATGGTCATCATCATCATCATCGTCATCATCATCATCACCGCTGTCATCATTGCCATCGGCATCCTCCACATCATCATCCTACATACATACATACATACCTACATACCTACCTACATACATACATTACATTACATACATACAGACATACATACATACATACCATTACATACCATTACATACCATTACATACAATTACATACCTTTACATACCATTACATTACATTGCATTACATTACATTACATTACATTACATACAGTACATACATACATACATACATACATACATGCATATATGGGGTACATTACATGCATACACACACATACATACATACACACAACAATACGTACATACATACATACATACGTACATTACATACCTACATACATACATACATGCATTTACATACATACATACATGCATTTACATACATACATGCATTTAGATACATACATGCATTTACATACATACATACATACATTGCATACGTACCTACCTACAGACTTACATAGATACAGTACAATGCATACATACATACATACATACATACATAATTGCATAACATTACATTACATTGCATTATGTTACATTACATTACTTACATACATACATACATACGTACATACATACATACATTACAGACATGCATACATTACATACATGCAGTAAATACACTGCATACGTACGAACGTACGTGCGTACGTACATACATTACATACATACATACATACATACATAAATACATACATACATACATACATACATACATACATACATACATACATACATACATTACATACATACATACATACATTACATACATACATACATACATACATACATACGTTACATACATACATACATACATACATACATACATACATACATACATTACATACATACATACATACATACATACATACATACATACATACATACATACATACATACATACATACATACATACATTACATACTTACATTACATTACATTACATTACATTACATTACATTACATTACATTACATTACATTACATTACATTAACATACATACATACATACATACATACATACATACATACATACATACATACATACATTACATACATACATACATACATACATACATACATACATACATACATACATACATACAATACATTACATACATACATACATACATACATACATACATACATACATACATACATACCTACATTACATACATTACATACATACATACATACATACATACATACATACATACATACATACATACATACATACATACATACATACATACATACATACATACATACATACATACATACATTACATAATTACATACATACATACATACATACATACATACATACATACATACATACATACATTACATACATACATACATACATACATACATACATACATACATACATAGATACATACATTACATACATACATACATACATACATACATACATACATACATACATACATACATACATACATACATACATTACATTACATTACATTACATTACATTACATTACATTACATTACATTACATTACATTACCATACATACATACATACATACATACATACATTACATACATACATACATACATACATACATACATACATACATACATACATACATACATACATACATACATACATTACATACATAATTACATACATACATACATACATACATACATACATACATACATACATACATACATACATACATACATACATACATACATACATACATACATACATACATACATACATACATACATACATACATACATACATACATACATACATGCATGCATGCATGCATGCATGCATGCATGCATGCATACATACATACATACATATATACATTACATACATACATACATACATACATACATACATACATACATACATACATACATACATACATACATACATACATACATACATATTACATACATTACATACATACATACATACATACATACATACATTACATTACATTACATTACATTACATTACATTACATTACATTACATCTTACTACAGCAAACATGAATTTTACATTACATTGCATAC